CTACCCCTTCTTGACACATAGGTGTTAGCCACAAAGAAATAACTACAGGAGAGCTTCTTATTTCCTGTGCAGCTTCTATTATAGCAGTAGTTTACGCTACCACAGGCAAACCTGCATTCGAAAGCACTCCACATACCCAAAGCCTGACTTGCAAAGAGAGAAATCAAAGGCAAGCAATGTTAAGTGACTTTCTGGCTCCTCTGGTGAGGTTGCCAGAGGAATTGTCAGCAATCCCAGTCTGTGAATGGCTTTTGCCCTGAGAGTGTTTTGTGGCACAGAATTGGTCTGAGTCTACTGAGTCCACATTAAGCCATCTGTCAGTATGCCGAGCAAATTCAATAGGTTTGGGTCAGTAACCTACAGACAAATACAAGTAGTGCTCCCAAGTTCAAGTGCAATATTTACCTTTTAGGAAGACTCTGTATCTCCTTCTAAGATAAATGTGAACAAGTAACAAAAAAGGTGTTTCATAGGTACGAACCTTTCCCAATTGGCTTTATTTTTAATACATAAACAATCTCTTCTCATTGTTGCTTCTCCTAACCTGTAAGATCACAGAATTTGTGGGCTTCTTTGCTCATAATGATATCCTGTGATACTTAGGGGCAGAAACAGCTAAAAATAGTGGAACTCTCCTCTGCTCAGCCCTCTAGGAAAATATTTTGATAAGCCCAGGCAGGATGCAGGAAGGCTTAAAAAGGAAAGTAAGACATACCTCTCTGGATCTGAATAAACCTTAGGAAAGCATGTCTAAGAAACAGACTACGCTCAAGCTTTTATTTTATATTAATCAATTTGCCTATCCAATGTAAAACACATGTCATAATCCATTCAGGTAATAAGAACAAGGAATAATCTCTTTCTGAGATCTTGCTGCTCCCTCTGCACTCACATATGGCAGGTGATCAGACTTGCTTTACATTTTGTTGCTCAGCAGTATACATCAGTAAGGCTGCCAGGGAGCTACTGTTTTTCCGTCTACCATTTCCACACCAAGACAGAATTATCTGGACACAAAACAATAACAAAAAAAATCAATTTTATATGGAGTGTTTATAGGTGCCCAAAAAAAAGAATGTGCTGTGGCTCAGATTATCCAGACGCTCATGATTTTTGGGTGCCGTACCCTTAGGATGAATAATATAATAACTGTAAGGTGGAGGAAGGGGTTAGAAATTAGGGAGCTAATTTTCTGGGAGTAGGCACTATTCCAGGTTGTATTTCAAGTGTATTAACACCATCTAACTTCAGTATCTAGCTTAAGTGCTGTGCCCATTGGAAGTTTGGTGCCTACACTGTGGTAAAACTGTCACTTTCTGATTATTTCTGCAAACCCTGTCCCACAGTTTGTGGTGTAGTAGTAAAAGTGAGAATGGACCCTTGCGTTGCAGCCCTTTGTATGTGTGGTGACAAAAACACGATAAGAATTTTTGTACTTTGATTATTTTTTGTAGTATTTTATTAGCAAATTCTCTTCTTGGAAATTTAGGACAACTTCCAGTGTCACAGGTGAAAGCTGAAAGGTCTTTACAAAATCATGGCTAACTATGTGCATGTTAGTTCTGTGAATCACTGCGGTTTGTTTCCATGGTTTATGCAGTGTTTAAATATTTATAAAAACAACAACAAAACAAATCCACACCAGACCAAACAAGTACAAGCTAATTCTCAGAGTGATTTACCATGAGTACTGTGAGCAAGAGCACATCTGCAGGCTAGTGCCCTCATTTTTCAGGCCTGCCTTGAGAAAACTTACTGTTATATAACTCAGGGCAAAGCTGGATAATGGCTTACCCGTCAGGAAAACACAAAATATCTTTGCTTCTGTGAAGTTTTGGAAAGCTCCCCTTCCCTGTGTGTTTTATGTTCTGTTTCCTGAGGAGTCCAAGTAATCAGATACCATGCCATACCCTGGAATGTGATTGTGCCAATGTAGCAAGCAAATGGCTGTCAGACTGCAGGCACTGTATTCCTTATAACAACCAAAAAACCCTAACCCAAACAAACAAAAAACAGCCACCTGAACTCCTGAATTCTATCACAGTATTCTAGGACATTTTTCAAGATGACTGTTTTCCAACAGGCAGAACTGGAACACATTTAAAAAAAAACCCAAGTCAGTATATTTTGGTCAAGGCTCAAGTAAACTTTGGTATTGCCCTGACACTGAGTCCTCTCCATAACATCAGTTGCATATATGCTTCTTCACCTGGATTCTTACCTGTCAAATGTGAAGCATACTTTCAAGGGGGTCACTCTAACACTTAGGGTTTTTTTAAGGCTAAAATATGTTTGCCAAATATTGCATGTTTAATAGGAAATTGAATACGAAGTGGTCTTAAAATACTTTTGACTGCATAGAAATAGCTAAGAGTTCCCAGTATAAGAGTATTCCTTAGGTCATGGTTATTATTTTGATCATGGTACATATGGAAAACTGATCATCATGTATTCACAAATGCTGTAATTCACTGTAGCGTTTGTATGGGCCTGGTACACTCTGTGTTTGGTCAGACCACTCATCTGGGATTACATACCTTTTCTATAGTCTAGGTTGGTGTGGGAGAAGCATGCTTAACAGGCTGAGCAAAGTAAGGCGCTCCCTCAAGATTGCTCAGAGAAAAAAAGCATGTTCAGAAAAGGCCTGGAGTAGAAAAAGCAGAGCTCTAGCCTACCTTTCCAAGAATTCTTAATGTCAAGTGAAGCCTGGAACTAGAAAAACATTTTAGTACCAGCCACCCTGTTATATGCATAAAACTCGTATTTTACAGGGCATGAAATATTTCTGCCATATTTGTAGTCATTTTCTCTTGTTGATGCCAATTCAAATACATGCTTCCTCTTCTGATCTTTGTTACTTACTCCTGTCTAGCTCCCTGTTCATAGCTTTCCTTCCCCCAGCCTGCAGTTCTCAGGGGCATCTCATTTTTTACTTTTTTTTCCTCTTGATATTTCACTGATAAGTTTTCCGTAACATCTAGATAATTTTCAGGTTATTGGTTTCATCTGTTCTTTCTTTCTGGTCTGTAGTGACTTTTCATCATTTCCATTCATTTATTATGTTTTTTCTTATCAACTCTGTTTTCTGGTTTTGCCTTGTGGAATCTGTATTTATGCCCTAACCTCTCTCCTTTAGTAGTTTTCTATGCTGTCTAAGGAATGTACAGTCACAAGATAAAAGGGCACTTCTCTCTCATACATTCCTTTCCCAGGAGACCAGGATTATTCCCATCAGTGCAGGACCTAACTTGTTCCTTCTTGAGGTCAATTATATAACAAATTTTCAAGGCCAGTTTTCAATCCCTGAAAAATGAAAGAACAAATCTCATCTCAAGTATGATATTTTGGTAATGATCTAAAAATTGTTTGAGGTGGTCATCTCAGGTAATTAGTTGGTTAGTGGTAGATTAAGGGGGTAAAGGAAAATTAGTGGAAACTAAGGGATAATCTAGAGGAGTAATAGTCAAGAAAGCTGTTGACAAATAGCTGTCATTTCCCTCTTGTCCACATGGACAGCTTCTGATTTCATTAAGTTTTATTTGGAAGCTATTTTGCTACTGTGAAGATTTTGAAGCTGTTGTGCAAGTGTATTTTTATTTTAACCTACTGAAATGGGCAGCTCTGTGTCCCAAGCGAAAAACCTGTGAGAATTCAGGTTCTGGAATTTATCCAGTTGCCCAATGTTAGTAATGATGATGACTGAAGATACTCATATCTTCCTTTTGTGTTTCAGAATCATAGAATCACAGAATGGATAGGGTTGGAAAGGACCTTAATGTCACTGAGTTCCAACCCCCTGCAATGGGCCTCACAATGGGCAACACCTCACGCTAGACCATGTCACCCAAGGCTCTGTCCAACCTGCCCTTGAACACTACTGGAGATGGAGCATTCACAACTTCTTTGGGCAGCCTGTTCCAGTGCTTCACCATCCTCACAGTAAAGAACTTCCCCTTATATCTAACCTGAACTTTCCCCGTTTAAGTTTGAACCCGTTACCCCTTGTTTTATCACTACAGTCCCTAATGAAGAGTCCCTCCCCAGCACCCTTGTAGGCCCCCTTCAGATACTGGAAGGCTGCTGTGAGGTCTCCGTGCAGCTGTCTCTTCTTCAGGCTGAACAGCCCCAACTTTCTTAGCCTGTCTTCATATAGGAGGTGCAATCTTACTCAGTTGTCACAAATCATCTGTATTTCTTGGAATTTCAGTTATCTGAAAACATGCAGTAATGTCGAAAGAATTCAGAATGGCAGTGATTCCCTCTCCTTTCCATATGGCCGAGGAAACTGATGTTATAAGGGGTGGTGAAGGAAATTGCATTAGAAGTATGTAAGAGATAAAGTACATGAAAAGGGAAAATATTACTTACGTTTAGAACGAATGAAAAATCTCTCTGTACATCTCTCTGTGAAGTCATTACTGTAATGTCAGTATTACATGAAACATTTTCAGAACTGCAAGATTGTAATTTTATTGGCACCACTGCAAATGCACATAGAAGGACTCACTTGTAAATGTTAGTTTCTTTTCTGGAAAATAGGCTACATGTGCAGATATTTTAAAGAGTGCTGACAGAAGCAGGTTGTTCCTTGAACCTTCATCTATAATATAGAAGTGGCAGATCCTGAAATAAGTGTAACAGTAGACAGAATGCTCTAATTTGTGCTGATTTTCTTCTCTTACTGAATTCAAGGAGAGATGAACATACTCAACTTTAAGATGAATCCTGGCATAGAGTTTACGGGGAGGAAAAAAATGCATTTCTCTCTGCGTTGTGTCACATTCTGTGGCAAGACTAGGGAGATGCTTAAGTATTAAGATGTTAATGGACATAAAGGATCAAAATTAATTAAAGGTAATTAAGGTAATTAATTAAGGTAATTAAAAAAATCCTTTTGCGTCTTCTTCTGATGCTAGGCACACATAAAATTTTACTGATCGAACATCTCCCAGAATATGTGTTTTCTGAAGTATAACTTAAGACTGTGTTCGTGTTGACAGAGGTACTGCCCTTGAGAGGTGCTGAAAGCCCCTTGGACTTGAAGAATATCCTGAATTTCCACTGTCTTCAGTAAGAAAAGAAAATACTCAGCACCAGGTAGGAAGTAAAAGAGACCTGATTTACTGTACAAAAAATGAGAAATCCTGAGATATATCAAGGGGGCTTGCATTTCAAACTCTTGCAAGTCCTTATGAATTCAAAATGAAATTTCATTGTTCCTTAGGTAAAAACTCTCAGGAATATGCTTGTCATTAAGCCCTGATTTAAATATATTTTATGATGTGATTGTATTTGTATTAATTACTCTCTTGGTCTTATATATGTTCATGATGATGCAAATTATTCCTTTTAATTTCCCTACATATTTTAGTTTTATAGCCTACATTAGCAGAAGTGCAATGATAGGGCTATAGAGACCTAAAATTACTCAATTTTACTCTTTCTACTCTTTTCACCTTGTGTATGTGATACTGCTAATATTGCTGACATTTATAGTAATTATGGTGAATTGCACCACATATTGGAAAAACTCCAGTGCGGAAGCTTGCTGCAAATCTGACCTGTTCCTAGTAAAGGATGTGGAATTGCACCAACATAAATACTGATACAAGTTCTTTCAAATAAGGGCATCTGACAGCAAATATTTCTTTTGCTTGTGGACAGAAATACAGCTCAAGAGTGTGTTAGGATTTCTGAATCTAAGTTTTGCTGTGTGTTGTCAAGAATCATCTCTAACAAAGATGAAGTATGCACCAAGTATAAAGAGTTGCACCAAGCTTTAGCCTGAAAGGGAGTAGCAAAAAGTATATTCAAAGCACTGGCAATTGATCAGTTAATGACAAAACGTGTTTAGGTGTTAACAAAACCCTTTGGTTGTGGCCTAGCTAGGGTGCAGTTAATCCACCAGTAGTTCTATACTTCGTCTTACTGTGGAACCAAATTGCTGAGATCCCAAAGCAGAAGTGGGTGTCAGAAAGGCAATTACATATGATTGAGACCACAATGTGGTAGAGTTAGCTGGAGAGAAAGCCCAGCAGTCTTAAGCTGATGCAGGAAATAAATGCATAACTTTATCTAACAAGTGGAAAAACTGATGTTTAAATTATTAATCTGAATGTATCAGGAAGATGTGGTAGTGTGGTAGCTCTGTAGTAGAGGATTGGAACTGGACACAGAGGTCCCAGGTGGTGTTTGCTGACCCCTTGAATTCTGCAAGCCATTTGGGAAGTCCATGTATCATGCCGGCTTGCAATGAGGTGGGAGGGCAGAGCAGGAGGAGAGGACACAGCAGAACTGAATTATGGTGTGTCAAAAGCTGAAGTCGGACACAGAGGCAGCAGAGCAAGCGGCTGTCTTGCATGGATAGAAATCAGTGATGGCTTTTTGTTGTTTGTTTGTCTGGGGGGTTTGGTTTGCTTTGCTTTGCTTTGGGTTTTTTTGCTTGCCAGCGTGAATACCAAATGTCAAAGACTGTGAATATAGAAGTAGTTGTCTATGGCCACTCATGAATATGTAAGCAAATAGTAGTTAAGGATAAATGCTTTAGACCTGAAAGTGAACTAGTGATTCTTTAGTTAGTAGTGATTCTTTGGTAAGTAGTTGATACTTTGCCTCTTCCCAGTAGAGACGGTGGAGGAAACGTTGTCTGTCCTGCAACCTGACCTCTCTTCATATTCCTTCCACACAGTCTGTGAGAACAAAATGGGCCGAGCCTGTAAATGGAAAATCTGCTTTTGCATATCATCACTACTTGATAAAAGTAAACAAAGCCTGTTCTCACTTCATTATTGCTACAAAAGGCTTATGGCTATTTTCTGTATGACAGAGTTTGCAGTGTACATGCATAAAAACCTAGCACCCATTTCTGAAATGCAGGTAATAAGAAACAAGTTTCTTTATTTGTGTCCTTAAGTCTCTAAGACACTTCATGAAGAGTCTCCAGTAAACTGATTCACAGTAGCATAACAGCAACCTTCCTTTGAGCCCCTCAGGAAACTGAGAACTTCACTGACAGTAATGAATAGTATTGTTTCCTATGGGCTGACATCTCTTCCTGAGAGATCACTGCCTCTAGGAGTGTTCTCTAGGTTTTCCAGGCAAACTCTCTTCCACACAATATGTGGTTACTGAAAGCTGTCCTCAGATGGTCTGTGGAATTTCCCAGGCAGCCATCCCTGAAACTGAACTGGGATTAGGGAACAGCTAATTTAAGAGCTCATCTACTATGTAAAATAAATTCAGTTCTGTCCCCAGTGTTTCCAATTTTAACTTTTACACTCAAGTGGTATAAATTATTGTCCTTACCAGCTGAGTCTGCTGTCATGCACCTTCCTGGTGCTTAAGAAAATAAAATAAAAGAGTAGTAGAGAGCCATCACAGAACAACAGGAAGATGTTTCTCCAAGCTCCACAGGCGTGAAAGCACAGCATACCCCGTCCTGCCCAGGCAGCAATGGATCTAGATGATGAGGAACATGTCCTTGGCATTGGATCTAGGCTGCTTTAAATGTAATGGTAGCTGGCCAGTAGCTGTGACCAGCACTAAGACTGCAGCTCTGACCAGCTCAGAAGTTACAGAGACAAAGCGGTGAGCTAGGGGTTTGAATAAGGTGTATCAAATCACCCTTTTGGTTAAAAGTTGGGTCAGCCCAAGCTCTAGCACTTGGACACTGCTACAAGGTGATTAACCTCTATGCTGCCTGAATGAGAAGCGAGCAACTGTGTTTATGTTTGCACCTGATTACACCACAAGGCAAAATGCAGGACAGGCCTCCTTCACACCCTCTCCCCTTGCCTGTACTTCTCAAAGGCCAGATGTGGCCAATCTTTTCTTTATGTAGGATGAATCTGGAGGGTAGCAAAATAGAGCTGGAGGTCTGGAGTTCTGCTGCCCCATTCCTGCCATGGGCTGATGGGAATGTAAACAAGGGTGGGAAGGAGAGAGCTTCTGTCAGCCACGAATCTATTCTCAGGAAGATGGGAAGCCCGGGAGCCAAAAATATTACAGCATTGTCTTTTGGAATTGACCAAGCATGTGCGAAATCACTATCTTAATGATAAACAGTGCTAAAAATATTGGCACGACATGAATCCAGCCTCTGCAACAAAGGGGTTTGGGTTTTGTTTGTTGGGTTGTGGTTTTTTTAATAATTGAAAAAGCAGCTCATATCACATATTTCTTTATCACATCTTTAAAGACTGTTATCCTGCACCCCTCTCTGGATTGCTGTATGCTGAAAGAAATGACTCTTAGAACTATTTTCTGTAGAACTGTAGTAGACATGAATACCAAACAACTTCACAAACCACTAAATATTTGGCAACCTTCTAGTCTACTGTAATTTTTAAAAAATGCTCAAGACAAATGTTTATGTTGAAGGGGGGGGAATCCTGAGGATAGAGCTGTCAGTTAATGGATAATTTCAGCTTCCTTATATAACCCTGTTCTATAAGCCATACTTCATAAAGACTGAATACTCTTCTAATCAAACTTTCCTCAAACCTTAAAAAATACTTAATTGTGTATGGATGCTGCTCTGGCTTTTCTGGCATGTTACATACAGGATGTCTGGCCAGTTCTCTAGTCTTCTCTCAGATATCTTACTGATCCAAAATATTTTCACCAGACACCCTGAAATGGAATCACAAGTTTGCCAATTTCCATTTCATGCATCTTCCTCAGAAAACTGAAAATTACAGCTCATGAGCACTGACGATTTGATTGCTCAACATCCAAACTTAACTCACTGGAACAAAATAACAACAAAGATCCAGATGATGATGACTGGCCTCTGTGAGACAAAATTGCTTGCAAAAAAAGAAAGAAAAAAAAGAAATTAAAAAAAAAGTTACATTATTTCCAGCTCAGAATTTAGGCTATGAGGGAATTGGTGCTCTTAAACCACTGATAAAGCACAGGTCAACAGTTACTAGTAGGCCTTCATCAGCAAGATTATTACATTATTACACTGACATTTCCCTGAATCTGCCCAGGTCTCCAAAGCAGAAAAACAATTCTTGGTGTCTTTACACTGTGTAATTTTCAATTTTTTCAATTCTCTGAGCTCCAAGTCAGCACTTTTCTGAGAAACATATATGTCAGAAGAACAGTTCTCAACAAATGTCTCATATTCTGATTTCCTTGGATTTTACAGCAAGATTTCAAATGCTGTTGAAACTGCCAAAAAAGAAAAATGTGTTACAGTATTACAGATGATAGTATAGTCCAGCCTGAGTTTTTAACTTCTAACCAGTGCTGAGAGCTTTAGCAATCTTATTTTACTAAGCCAGGAATTCTAGGCAGAACTTTATTAAAATACGGCTGAATGACCTGTTACGGGAACCAGGCTCTGCAAGGGGAATGTTTGTCAGTTTGGCAATGTAATGGTCCTGCAAGTTGGTTCATTGTTCACTAAAGCTGTAGCCTGCGACTTGAACATCTTGTCCTCTGGAAAGGGATAATCTTACCTAGATGCCAAATAAGGTGTGAGGTCCTCATATTGAAAGGATCTGCTCTGGGTCAAGTAAAAGTCTTAAATTCCTTACCTATTATCCTCTCTTCCCAAATTCATTCAAGACAAATGCTGATCCACCACCCCAGCCAATGGTTTCTAAGAAGCTTGTCCTTATTCATTCCAAGATGGGGCTACATGTTCAGGCCACTTCTTTTCCTTCCAGAAAATCTTCTGGATGGAAGGAATATGGAAAATGGGAGAGATCTGTGGCTTTAGTAGTAAACCACACAGGATATATGATGCTATGGTAATCTGACTCTGTATGATAAAGATCCAGTTGATGTGATGTTGCTAGAAGCACTCCAGGAAGCTGGTAAAGATTATAGCTAGGCCAGGTCCATTACTCCGAATAAGATTGCTCAGAATTACAGGATATTTAGAATTGAAGCCCAAGGAGGGACTGTTTTAGGAATGATTTCAGGTTTGTAGAACTGGAGAGTGAAGTGATAACCACATACAAGAATACCACATTGTAACTAAAGCCCAGAACTTCCTCAATTTCAGACTTTGGCTGACATCTTTTGTCCAAAGTGATGCTTTGACTTGGAAGGTGCTGCAAATCCCCATGTAACTGTAGTCAGTGAGAGTTTCAGGAGCTGGATCTTCTAGAAACATCCCTGCTGGG